TTCGGAGGCCTCTTGGGGGTCTCTTGGGCGTCTCCTGGAAGCCCTCTTGGGGTCTCCCGGGGGGCCTGTCCGGGTGGAAGGCTGGAATTGACGGTCTGCGTTCCGCCTCGTGGGCCCTTCTCGGGGCCGTTGTGGGGCTTTCTTGGGCCGATGGGGGCGCCTCTTGGGCCGTTTGGGGGTTCTCTTGGACAATCTAGGGGCCCTCTTGGGGGCCTTCTGGGCCGTCTCGGGGCTGTCTTAGGGGCACCTGGGGCCGTCTGGGAGCGCTGGAAGCTTGAAAAGGGGATAACGTGAAACACAAAAAATGGCATTATAAACATCAGTGATGTTTTTCTCTTGGGGCCCTCGTGGGGGTCCTCTTGGAGCGCCCTCGGGGCTTCTTTGGGGCCTCTTTATCTTTCGCTATTTTGGCGGCCCTGGCGGCCGCCCAGGTCCGTTGTGGATGCCCTCTTGGGGATGCAGGAAGCCCTGGAGGCCGCCAGGGACGCGTCTGGGCACCGAGAGAGCCTCGGGAAGAGGGGGGGCGGTTCGCGCGCACAAGGTGCGGCCCGAAGGGGGTGGGGCCCCTAGAAGATTGCCGGAACCCTAATTACCAGACAGCACTTGGCATTCTATCGGGGGTGGACGGACCTCCTACCCTGACACGTCGATTAAGGAATTAATTGACCGTTTTCGGTTCGCGAGAGGGCGTCGCGGCCGTCATTTTTGCGGGTCCATGTCCGTCGGTTTCGGTCTTAGGCCGTTTTCACAAAGGGGAGGTTTACTAAAGGGAGGTTTGTCCACCGCCGATTCTAGCGCGCCTCAACATGCCAGGGGGCACGGTGCGCGATATGTGGGAGGCCGCCACGACAGACATGTGTTGACAGGCCGCCATAAGAATGAATCAAGGTGATCTGTTCTGCTTGTCAGGCATCTGGGGTGCAGGCCAGCGGCTGGTCAGAACCGCGGGCGTCTCAGATCGCAGGACAATGTCGTCTCTCGGAAGATTCGCACGCGCAGTTGACTTGCACGTGAAGCTGCTCTGCGCATGTTTAGATTCAAACACAAGTCGGATCACGCTAACTAAAGTTCGCGCCCGTCCCCCCTCCTGTCGTTCCTCCTCAGGACCACCCGCTGCGACAACAGGGCAAGAGGCTGAAGGAGAAGGTCAAGCAGTCGCTGTCGTGGCCGAAGTCTCCCACACAGGTCCTACCCATGGTGATAGAGCTCGACGAGGCCGTCTTCTTTCGGAAGTACGGGGCACGATCGACCGCCACCAACACCAAATCGTATCGCGACGATGGGCACATCGCAGATACGATCTCAGCGGACGCGCTCGCCAAGTTGTCAGAGAAGGATGTTGACAATTTGAAAAAGTTATTGAGCATGATGCGCAAGTACACTTGCTTAGCCATGATGCAGGAGATCAAAGATTCGGGAGATTGGGTCAAGCCGATGGACACGATGGACACGAGAAGCCGAAGCAAACCCTCCGCGACGCCTGAGGGCAACGAGTTCAAGTTGTCGATATGACCCACACTCTCAACGGGTGGTGACTTTGTGTTATGAGTGACGGGGTTGCCCCATGCATGATGATCTGTCCCGCCGTCCTCCTCCCCGCGACATCTGCATTTTAATGGCGTCCACAGCTCGATCGATCCAATGTTTTTCTGCTGGTCACTTACTTGGTTTGCCAGGACGGGGTGCGGGTGGACGGCCATGCCTCTCCGCCCCGGTTTTCGGTGCCACTTCCTCATCGCCGCTCCCGCCTGCCAACTGCAGGCTTGGCTGGGCCACCTCCCGGGGCAATGAGAAGGGGGGCGTAGGTTCAGGGTAGAATGAATACATCGACCCCCAACCGTCGTCATTTGCGCCCTCCTGTTCCTTCTTCTCATGTTTTCGCCAGTGTCTCTGAACAGAGCGCGCCCGAGTTTCAGGCAGCGAGCAATCGTGGCGTTGGCAGCGAGAGGCATGTATGAGCGATGGCCACGGCGAGTTGTTCACTAGCCGAACGGCCGTTCTAGAGTTTTTAGAGAGCATATTTGGAGAAGGACGACGACACGTGGTCCTACACCCAGCGTGAGCCCAAACGAGTTCTCCAATGAAGGGTCAGCGAGGTCTTCCCTGCTGTCGGGGCACAAAGTGTTGGCTCAGTCTGGTTCTCTGCCGCTTTAGACTTTAGGCATTGCCGGCCGCCCAGATGGGCCTGTGACCTGGTGTGCGCACGGTGGGCTCGCGTCGTGTCGACTGGCGGTGACCCCGCTGCTGGCGTTCAACGTTGAACGCCGCCAGCGACCCAGAATCGCTCGATGTTGAACGAAATGACGTTTCGGTGACGGCCGATCGTTGAAGGTTGAACGATCCCCGCGGCATCAGAAACTAATGCTGAAGTCGACACGACAAGAATTTGCCGTACTTACAATCACCGCAAAGAGCGGCGCGATGGCACGCAGTTCCTCAAGGCTGCGTGTATAGGTGGCACGAGTCACAGCCTTGTTCCCACCTTCGCGAACAAAAAGCAGGTGTGAAATTCTTAACGCTTCGCTCACATATAGTGAAACAAAGCTGGCAGCCAGGGTGAACAGGGCGACCTCTGGGAGCAAGGCGGTAGCCTTGGAGTGGAGGGCATTTTCGAGCCATCCCTGGGGGCCGCGTGGGGGCGAAGAAGTAGAAGGATGAGGAGGAGGAGGTGGAGGGGGAGGAGGACGAGGAGGACGACGACGACGATGACGAAGACGACGACCACCACCACGACGAGGAGGAAGAGGCGGAACAGGGAAACGAAGACGATGAGGGCAAGAACGAGTACGAGAAGGAGGAGGAGGAGGAAATGGAGAAGGAGGAGGAAAGGGAGGAGGAGGAGGCGGAGGAGGAGGAGGAGGCGGCGGAGGTGGAGGAGGAGGAGGAAAAGGAGGACGAAGAGGAGGAGGAGGAGGAGGAGGAGGAGGAGGAGGGGAGGAGGTGGTGGAGGACGAGCAGCATGACAATGATGACGAGGACAGAGCCCTCAAACTCGCCTCTTGAAACCCTCGTGGGACTCTGCTGGGGGATCTTGGGGTCATCGTGGGTAATTTTTTGGGGGGGTATCGGGCCCTCTTGGAGCCGTCTTTGGGGGTCTTCGGGCCCTTTTGGAACCCTTTGGAGGATCCCCTGGGGACCTTGGGGGGCCATCTTGGAAGCCATCGATCAACAGGGGGTGGTCCTACAGTTTACTCCCCATCTTGGGGCTATCAAAATCGCCTCTTGGGACACTGTCGGGGAACTTGTTGGCCGACCTTGGGCGATGTGGGTGCCGCTTTACCTTGAGGGAATACCCCGATGGGCATTGCAAAACGTCTCTCGTCCGCCGCCGCCTTGGTTCAAGGCGGCTCCGCCCTATCTGCCTACGTTGGTGGCGTCGCGTGCTACGCACTATCTATGGCGTCGGGCTGGATAAATGGCTTGCCCCGTACTCCATCGGCACCTCCATCGAAGCTTCGTTCGAACTTGCCAGCGGAGCGGTCGTACTGGCGGCAGCGGTGCTCACTTCTTCCCTTGGCGTTGTGGCGTTTGATTTTATCTACGCCAAGTACGACCACTAGCGCAGCGGAGGATACCCCGAGGACGACGAGCACGGCAGACGCCGTCCTGGACATCTATTTGATCGGTATCAAGCACTACCATTGCGACCCCACCTGCTCAAGCTTGGGTCGCACGCGCGCGAGGGAACTCGTCCGCGTTATCAAAAGCCTTCCCTGCTCCGAGTTCTACCTGGGTAAATGCCATCTCTACATCATGAAAGTATACACGCGCGCTACTCCGACGACCTTGACCTCCACCACAACGTCTTCAACCATTGCACCGGCCCCACCATCTACGACACACGAGCGCGGAAACGCAACGGACTACGACGGACTACCACGCCGCCGAGATCGAAGAACGCCGGCTAGCGAAACTCTCAACTTCCAGCTGCTCGTGGACACGCTGCCAGCGCCTCCACCACAAACTATTACATCGAACGTGTTTTTCTTCCGTCTCCACTTTCTTGAGCCTCACCATCTACGGGCTCCCAGCCGCTGGCGCCATCATCGGCCGCGCGATGAGGGAGCGCGAGGGCGATTTGTCGAGAGGTCCTTGATGGGGCCCAGCTGAGAATGTCCTCTTTCGCATGTGGATGCGAGAAGTACACGCGCGGCTCAACGTCCTCCCCCGCAGGCGGCTGCCCTGCAGCGAGGCCATCAAGGCCTGGCTCGCAGCATCGCCGCGAGGATCCCGCCGGGTGCGATCAGTTTCGAGGCCGAAGTCACTGAAGTAAGAACGGATCCAGTCACCGATCTACCCATTGCATTACCTGGCGCAGAGATTCGAGTTTGGACAACAAGCGCCAATTGCAGCCGGAGCTGGAGCGTATGGGCTCCAGTGTCACAACTAAGTACGAACGGATTGATGGCGTCCTCGCAAGCGGGGCAATAGGGCTCAGGAACTTACAGGTATAATGTGCGGCGCTCGTCCGATCCCTCGGGTTCCCCCCGCGCGAGGCCCCATCGCCCTTCCAGCCTCTCAATGGCTTGGCGCCAAAGGCGCAGTAGGAGCACGACCAGCCGCCGGAGGCAATCAGACGCCCGCGTCGCATCGTCGAGCGCATGTCCGGCAACGTCGCCCAGCTCGCGGGCGGCCCTGGCAGGGGCGACGCCCATCTCATTGACGCCGCATTCATGACGCGAGGCGACGCTCAAGCCAGCAGCGAGGCCCCGGTCCGCAGCGCCGCGCGGCCCGCGAGGCGCTTGCAGGAATTCGGCAGCCTGGGCGTCGCCCGCTGCGGCAGCCTCGACGGCGCCGCGGGCTGCCCCCGCCGCTGCTCGCTGGGGAATCCCACAGAGGAGGGCGACAATGGGGCGAGCGGAAGTCGACGCGAGACTTGCCAGTTGCGACGCACTCGTCGCGACATGGCAGACGCGCCGGGTGGCCGGCACGCCCTGGAGATCCTTCATTCGAAGCAATTCCGCCAAGGCCGCGGGAGGTTTTGCTGCGCGCGAAACCTGCGCGACGCGTTCGCACGCCCATGAAGCGGGCCCTCAAAGAATAGGAGGGGGCGTGGCGGGCGCTTGCGTCTCGCGGGCCAGGGCGCGCCGGCGTTCGGGGCCGCTCTCAGCGACGACGCGCTCGAGGAACAGGAATTCGGCGGTCGCGGCAAGGGGCCGCGGACGACGTGCCAGACACCTGCGGAAATGGACCGTCAAAAGGCAGAGGCCGAAGATACAATCCCGTCGGCAAGCGCGGCGCGGTCACGACGCGCCGCCACCGCGGAACACCGCGGCGCCCACAGTGCGCGACTGCTCACGAATTGCAGGCAAGGGCGCCCCGGCGCGAAATATTCCGCGCGCGCGGTAGAAGTCATGGGCCATCCAGAGCACAGGCAGTAAGAGGAGTTGCATTTCGTCGAGGCCACCCAGCAGCGCTTCTACAGATCATCGACACCCTTGCGGAGCAATGCAGCATTGACCGAGACTGCCCCGTCAACGACTGTCTCGCGGGAACATGATCCAAGGCGCGCGAGCCCGGAGATCCAGAGTCGTCGCTGCTTCAATCGGCGAGAAGTAAACTCGATCAAGTGCGCGGCGCGCGTTGCGGAATTGTCGGCTACAAAAACGACCGGCCCGAGAGCATAGCAGCATCATCGTCGCACTCGCACGCACTTTTTGGAGTGGCCCAACCGATCGACCCACGTGCGCCACCGCGCGATGACGACCCAGGAGCGACGCACCTTCGCTCTCCTGGCATCTGGCCACCGGCACGGCGCCCGCGGGACGCAACGCCGGCGGGCAGATGCCAGCCATGCGCGCCCAACATATGCTTGATAAACCGACGTGCCGCTCATGATTTCGGCAGAATCTCGCACCGGCGGGCGCCGCGCGCGCGTGCGCGCCGGCGAGTTGCCGATCGCTATTAGGGTGGGGATTTTTGCGCGTCAAATATTTACTCGCCGACGCCAACTCAGAATGCGGAGCCGCCCAGCTCTTGCAGCGACGGGGGCGGCGGCGATGTCGAAGCCAGAAATACATGGGGCCCCGCAGCAACTGGAACTCGACACCACGCCCTCGATGACCCCGTCCAGGGACGTGCTTTCACATTGGCCCACGACGCCCCGGAGAGACGCGAGAGTTCTGACGAGAAGGAGTCCTGTAGTTCTTTCATTGTCGCACTTAGCGCCGACTGCGCTGGCGACCCGGGCCCAGGACGGCGCGGCCCGCGCGATGCCCAACGAGGCTTTCTCATTGCCATGCCGGATCTTCATCGACGAAGGGAACTTATGCCACGCATCTCTAGCGTCTTTGACCTTGAATCAACGCCGCGCACGGCCCAGACCTGCTAGAAACAGCGCCCCATCTGGAGGCCCGAGCAACGCCCAGCTCTGGGAACGGACCTGGCCTATGGCGACGCGGCTGCACGGGCGTTTATTGATTGCGACCCAACATGCGAAGAAGACCCACCCCCCGTTTCTGATGCTACAGAACAACAGATCAAGCATTCTCGGTTTGTTCAATTGCCGGGCATGCCCTGCGCGCCGCATCTACCAAGACGGCGCTCTGCCGGACTGCCCCTGGCGCAGCCTGCCCAGGACTCGGGGCGTCGACGGCGACCGCCCCAACGGGTGCAACGAGCACCCCATGCAGGAGGGGGCCTCGCGCACGGTCAAAGCCGAGGGAGAAGCACCACCTCGACCCCCGCGCGGAGGCAGACGCGCCCCTGGACCACCGCGCCCCCGAGGCCAGGGCTTGCGCCGCAAGAGCGAGGCGATTTCGCGCGAGGGCCCCGGGGCCGCCGCCTGCCGGAAACGACGCCAACAAGGGTCGCGAGAACCGGCATTTCGGCGGCAGGCAGGCGCGAATGCCCACCGCGGGGCCCGCGCGGTGAGGATTGCCCAGACAGAAGCATCGCGCTTGTCAAGCCGTTCGAGCTCCACAACCTGAACGACGCGCCACGGGAACGGGGCCGAGATTTACATCGAGCCCGCCAAAACATGGCGGACCGCTTGGACTTGCGGGCCGCTGGCCCCTGCGGCGCGGGGGGGGGGGGGATCAACGTCGCGCCCGCCGCCCAGAGGCCCGCGGCCGACCTCGCCAACGAGGCGTCGCGCCGCCAGCCCCCGCGTCGCGCGAGACGGGCGCCAGCCCTGCTGCGAGCCGCATTGCTTCAAGGAAAACGCGCGAGCCCCGCGGCCAGCCGCGCCGCTGCATCCCCGCGAAAAAAAGGTTTAACATAAGCGGCGCAGGGATGGAGGCCGAAACGATGTCGAATCAGACCAGGTGGGGCCCGTCGCATCAAGCGACATCCGCCCGTCAATGCTGCGGAAGAACGCCCAGTCCACATTGCGCGGCGCACGTTAGCCATCCGACCGCGGGGACGAAGCCGCAAGGCAGAACGTGGATCCGCCCGTGCCAGCGCGAAGGATCAATTCCCAAAGCACCCTGGCATCGCGCGGCATCCGCCACTCACTGTCGCCACCGGGCGCGCGAGCCAAAGTGTGGCGCGTCAATGGCC